GGTAACACATTTTGATTGATAAACATCATATTTTAGGTCACTACTAAAAAAAAAACCCTTGCGCGACGAAACAAAATTCGTCGCGCAAAGTCACTTTGCGCGATGAAACAAAATTCGTCGCGCAAAGTGACTTTGCGCGACAAATATTAACCATCGTCGCTCAAAGTCTTACGCAACTCAATTTTGCGCAACGAAAAAAAAATCATCGCAAAAAGTTACTTTGCGCGACGACAAAGCATCGTCGTGAAAAGTAACTTTGCGCGACGAATACTAGAATTAGGTGCACACAGTTTTGCGCGACGAATAGTGATTCGTCTCGCAAAGTATTTACAACAATAAATAAATAAAAAAAAATATTTTTAAAAATTTTTGGATGCCTTTGCGCGACGATATAATAATCTTCGTCTCGCAAAGTCTTTACTAAAATTAAAATTAAAAAAAATTTGGAAGACTTTGCATGACGAAATAATAATCTTCGTCTCGCAAAGTCTATACAAAAATAAATAAAATAAAAAAATTATTTTGTTAGAAAAATATACTATTGTAGTTCGGATTGGGTTTTTGTAGAAGATATATATTTTAAATTGACGATCAAATTGGTTCATTGTATTCATATAGGGTCAAGGAATGTAGCTGTAAAAAATCATCAAAATCGAAATTGAAATAACCGTTAAATCGTGATTTTTCGTTTATAACCGTCGAAAAGTTTTGTCCCATTACGTGATCTCTGAATGTTTATTTTTTCCGATTTTTGGGGTATACGATCTCGAAGTATAAACAAACAAGTTTGACGGTTGGATCGTTGAAACTGGTTTCATAGAATACATATGCTATTAAAATAATATATTCACTAACAATTAAGAGTTTATTTGTACTTTTGTTAAATATAACATAAGATTTTGTGGTATCCACTAGTTTAAATATTTTAAATTGAGGATTGAATGCAGTCATTGTATTCATATAGGGTCAAGGAGTGTAGTTGTAAAAAATCATGAAAATTAGAGTTGAAATAACCGTTAAATCGTGATTTTTCGTTTATAACCGTCGAAAAGTTTTGTCCTATTACTTAATCTCTGAATGTTTATTTTTTTCCGATTTTTGGCGTATATGATCTTGAAGTGTAAACAAACAAATTTGACGGTTTGATCGTTGAAACTAGTTTCGTAGAATGCATATGCCATGAAAACAATATATTCACTAACAAATAAGAGTTTATTTATACTTTTATTAAATATAACATAAGATTTTGTGGTATCTACTAGTGTAAATATTTTAAATTGACGATCGAATGCAATCATTGTATTCATATAGGGTCAAGGAGTGTAGCTGTAAAAAATCATCAAAATCAGAGTTGAAATAACCGTTAAATCGTGATTTTTCGTTTATAACCGTCGAAAAGTTTTGTCCTATTACTTAATCTCTGAATGTTTATTTTTTCCGCTTTATGGCGTATATGATCTCGAAATGTAAACAAACAAATTTGACGGTTGGATCGTTGAAACTAGTTTTGTAAAATGCGTATGCCATGAAAACAATATATTCACTAACAAATAAGAGTTTATTTATACTTTTATTAAATATAACATAAGATTTTGTGGTATCTACTAGTGTAAATATTTTAAATTGACGATCGAATGGAGTCATTATATTCATATAGGGTCAAGGAGTGTAGCTGTAAAAAATCATCAAAATCAGGGCTGAAATAACCGTTAAATCATGATTTTTCGTTTATAACCGTCGAAATGTTTTGTCCAATATATTGATCTCTTAATGTTTATTTTTATTTTTTCTGAATTTTGGTGTATATGATCTCGAAGTATAAACAAACAAGTTTGATGGTTGGATCGTTGAGTAGCTTTAAATTTATTTATTTTGTACGTATAACACTTAAGAAATTGAATAGTATATGTATTTAGTAGTAGCTTTAAATATTTTTTAACACTTTGCGTGACCAATTTAGTATTTCGTCGCGCAAAGTATCCTCTCAAAATTTGGGCATGTGCCAAAAATGGGAATTTAAAAAAAAAAAAATCGACTTTGCGCGACCAATATATAATTATTCGTCGCGCAAAGTATATATTCTAAAAATGTTGGCGTGTGCCAAAAATGGGAATTTTTTTTTAAAAAAAAAATTTCGACTTTGCGCGACCAATATATAATATTTCGTCGCGCAAAGTATATATTCTAAAAATTTTGGCGGTTACCAAAAATGGGAATTTTTAAAAAAAAAACATTTTCGACTTTGCGCGACCAATATATAATATTTCGTCGCGCAAAGTATATATTCTAAAAATTTTGGCGGTTACCAAAAATGGGAATTTTTTTAAAAAAAAACATTTTCGACTTTGCGT